CGCCCGAGCGGGGCCGCCGCCCCTGCCCCCGACCCCTTGCTCCCGGGCCGAGGGGCCTCCGGACATGGAAAGTGAATCACTGATTGAAGCCACTAGGCGTCCCTGAGCCGCGATTGCTATTACTCTGTCTGCCCTTTGGGAAGCTGTAGTTGGTGTGGGCGGCGCGGCTGGAATCTCTGCCTCCAAACTGGGCTCCGCATCCCGCCCAGCTCTAGTGAGGGGCCTGGGGCCCCTGTCGCATCTGCGAAGCGGGGATGGCAGGGATCGTTGGGCAGCGCGCCTGCTCGGTGCCTGGCAGAAAGCAGGTGCTCAGTGAGGGCGCTGCTGGCACCGCTACTATTAACAACAAGCACCATGCCTGGGCTCGGGCCCTGGCCTGTGACCTGTCCCCGGCCACTTGGGTACGGTGGACAGCAAGAGGGATGAGTGGGGAGACTCAGGAAATAAAAAACATGGCTTAGGGCTGGGCTGGGCTAGGAGGAGTCAATGAGGGAGGGGAGGGAGGGGGAGCCATATGGAATACTTTCAACAATAAAGGTTTTTTAAATAAATAAGTAAATAAATAAATGCATGGCTTATACAAGACTTGGGTAACCCCCAACTAGGTGTAATAAATGTAAATAATCAGCCAGGGACCCGCCCACAAGCAGGGAATGCCATCCTCCTTGGCATCTGGGTCCACTCTCCACCGCACCCCCACTCCACCTACAGCAGAAGAACCCCCATTATCCAAGCTGGACACTGGGGGAGGGAAGGTCCCTGCAGGCAGGATCCCACACAGAGGTCCTGCCCATCACTCCTCCCCTGAACACCCACAGGCCACGTGTGTGTGCGCGTCACACACCAGCTCAGCCAGAGAAAAGGGGGGACCCTGAGAAGCGGCATCGGTGGCGGCTCAGAGGCCTGGCACATGGGTCCACCCGGCTGCACCCCCACCCCTGCCCTAATTTGTTACATGCAGCTCTCTTGCCCGTTCCAAAGTAATAAAATCTCCCTGAAATGCTAGAACCGTGAGGCCCGGCGCTGACGCTGACGCGGCGGCTGGGTTCCGGAGCCTGGCGATTATTAAAACATCGCTGCAGCCCTGCCCTCGGCCGCTTCCCTGTCCCCAGACAGCAGGTACCTGCAGGCGGGGAGCCCCAGAGCCCCCTCCAGAGGGGACTCACCCCCCTCTCCAGCCAGAGCTCCCCATCCCCCAGGAGAGATCGGGGCCCTGCGTTCCCCCCAAAGTCGCAGCCTCGGATACTGCGTGAATGGGGCAGGGAAGGGGGCGGGGAGGAGAGGGTAGGACAGATGGTAGGGGGAGTTTCACCCACACTCACCGGGGCCTGTCTCCATCTGGGGCACCATGGCCTTGGCACCCCGTTCCAGCTGCCCAGAGCGGCCAGGGAAGACCCGCCCCAATGCCTGGAGTTCCCGGCCATCACTCACCTTCCCCACCAGCTTGCCTTTCCGGTTCATGCACAGGTAGAACTCCGTCTCCTTGCCCTTGATCCGGACTTGACTGCCGAAGGTATCTGTCTCCACTAGGAGCTGGGCTTCGAAAGGCAGAAGCAGAAAAAGGACACGCTTTTTTACCAGGGCAAAGGCTTGGCCTAAAGACTCAGCGGCAGGATCCCTGACCCTGTCCTGGACCCCCACATCCCTGACACCAGGCCTGGGAGAGGCTTCTGCCGCGTCCCACTCGAGCACCCTCCAGGCAGGGAGAGGAAGCCGTCCCCACCTGCTCCCCACCCCCAGCCTCTCTCGACTCCACTTGGGACCCAGATGGCTCCAGCGAGTGGGGATTCTGCCCCTTGTGGCTAAATACCAGGGTGTCTTCTCCCCTCATCACTCAGCACCCCCAGCCCCTCGGCTCCATTCCCCAAAGCAGGACAGAGAGCCATAGAAATAACCCCACACATCAGCAGTAGCAGTTCCTGGGATAAGGGCACACAAATGCATGTGAGTTCTCACAGCACACACACGCACACGCACATGCACGCACTGCACACACACTGCACATGCACTGCACATGCATGCACACACCCTGCCCTGGGGGACGGCAGAGGCTCCTTCCTCCAGGGAAAACATGTGAATGTCCCTTCCTGCCTCCGCACCTTTGCCACGTGACGTGGGGAAGGCCCTGGGAGGGGAGGCCGTCTACAGAATTCCACTTTCCTCAATCAAGGTCATCACCTAACTCCCAGGAGCCCAGACGTCCCAATTAGGACCAATGCCCCCTGGTCCTGAGTAGGAAACTGCACCCTACATCACCCATGCTCCTCAGGGTGGGGGTCTCCAGAGCTGATCCCCCAACGCCTTGAAGGTCAAAGGCGAACTGCCCCTTGTTAGGCCTGCTGTGTCCAGACCCCTCCCCGCCCTCTGCCCGTCCATTTTCTCCCCATAGCGTCCTGTGTGACGTCGGGAGGCCATGCACACTCTCCGAGCGCTCTCTCCTCTCCGTCCGGAATCCCCTGCTGCCCCCTCCTTGCCTTCTCTGCCTGTGACCCTCCCATTCTCACCCTCCCATCTCTGACCCTTTGCTTCCCAGCACCTGGCCCTCCCTCAGCCACAAAATTTTAATTTCAGTGACAGGGGACTTGCTTCTCCATAACAAAAATCATAGCCCTCAGTACAGTATCCTTGGAGCCACAAAGAGCGGACCTCAGTGGCCCTAAAATACACAAGGTATGATTTAAATTAAAAAAAATTAAAAATATATACCCTGGTGCCCTGCTGTGAAAATTAAAACCATCTGGAAGGCAGGATTTCCAATAATTAATCTAGCCCTCCTTTGACACCACTACTAATTAAAATATGATACCCCACCTTTCCACGGGAAAAAAGAAGAATTTACATAAAATTTAAAGATCTAACAAGAATTTAGTAATTCTAGAAACAAGGGGGAGGGCACATTCTTCTCTCCACCTTCCCCCATCCCTAGTAAACATCGAGTCAAGAACATTCCCCAACACAGAGATAGGGGTTACAGGCCCCCGCTGCTCCCCAATTCAAACACCCGATAACTCTCCCTGGAAGCTCAGTCCCGGGGACCCAGGCCCAAACATGCCAGCAGCCCTGGGCCGGGCTCTCTGCCTCCCTCACAGCTCCTGGGATCGCAGACCCTCCTGGGGATGGGCTGTGGGATCAGGAGGGTCTGCGATCCCAGGAGCTTCGGAAGGAGGCAGCGTGTGTCAGGGAAGGTGAGAGCTTTGGACAGCACAGACCTGAGTCTAAATCGCTGGCCCAATTGCGTGACCTTGGGCCTCAGTTTCCCCGCCTGTAAAATGGGGGCAATCATCCCTGATCTTCAATGGTTACTATGAGGACTACCCAGAACGATGCTGCAAAGGGCTGGCGCCTGTCCTCAGGGGCGGGGTGGGGGAAACTCTGTACCTGTCGTTCAAGGGTCCTAATAACCGCAAAACAAAACTGTTTTCCCAAAAGAAAAATAATGCACATTGTGAAAAGTCAGGTGTGCGTGCGAAAGGGCGGAGGGGGACCACCCCTGCCCCCGGCCTGAACTTCCTCAGCGGCCTTGGGGGTCGCCGGCACCCCACACATCAGACAAGGCCTTGGGCTGGGACTTATGGGGTCTGATTCCCTTTCCGGTGTTGCCATCCTGGGCCGCGTGACCTCCACCCCTCCGTTTCCTGTGCAAGGAGGGGGCTCAACCCTATCCTGACTCTCTGAGACTGGGGGCAGGTTCTAGGACAGGGGCAGGGACGGGCCACCAGGAAGGAGATGAGGCCACAGGGCTGGGGCGCAGCAACCCTAAGTGG